AAGTACAAAATTCCGACCTTAAATATTAAAAATAAGCCTTCGATATAATGAAGATTCACTCCTTTTCAAAGCTCAACAGGAGACTGCTTCCGAGCACTGCCCGGAACATGAATTAGTTAAACTTATGAATACTATAGATGCGATAAGATTCAATTCATCAATTAAATCAATAACAATGTGAAATACCACTACATGAACCATTGCGTCCTATGGTCCTCATAACACGATTTTCCTGTTTGAAAACATTGTTCACTGTGATTTTTGATCTACATAATTTATCATTAATAAAACATCTCCCTCTCAAAGGAGGGAAACTCCGTCTCAGCGGCCATTCAAGACGAGATGTGTACGGCCGTAGGTGTTTAGAAACTCTGAGAACAATTCTACGTTCCAAATTTGCGAAACGATTCAATGAACAAAGTTACAGAATCGTTTCCCCTGTTTGTACCACTGTGGTGAACATAGTGCCGAACCAAGTGACATGCGTTACGCGGGCGGTGGGCACATAGGAATGACATGAAAAATTTGATCCTTGATGCACGCGCTCATTTGCCTTTTCATGAGACGTGATTTAAATGCTTGCACGTTTTTATGCTTCCTATTGACTATCTACGGAAATCCTCCACAATTTAGTAATATTAAAAGTGTGTTCCAAGGAAGAATTCTAGCCACTCACCGGCCGAACAAGGGTGCAACGGAAGCAAAGAGGAAGTACGAGGGTTGCCTTTTATATTTCGGGATTGAGTAATCCTAGTGTTGCAATATGACAACTGACAACTCGATCATAAAGTTTGACATTTTTGAGGTTATACGTACTCAGAACGTTTTGACATATGAGTGCCCCTTGTGTTGTTTACACTAACTTAAAAAATTTACTCAGGCCCTTGGCGCCCCCACTCCCCACTTAGGTCGAACCTCTTTCCCCCTTAACCTCCCCTTCCCCCTTTGGCGATGAAGCTCCATCAAGGACCAGTGCTTATCCATGGTACGGTGAATTCAACCGAAGTCGTAATTCACTCCAAGACGAACTTCGTGGAGGTCTCCAAAATCAGTTGTTGTTCCGATGCTATGCGCAAACTAATATTGTAAGATCGTCATGTTTCCTATCGTGAGATTAGGACAGCCTTAGGCATTAAAGAGATCAGCATACACTCAATATTGCATGAATATTTGAATGTCAAAAAATTGTTCACGTTGGATCCCACAAAATTTGTCAATCCCTCAAGAAACAAAGGCTCGTGTCGATTGGTCGAAAGAAATGCTCAAAAAATACGATCGCGGTGCTTCGAAACACGTCTCTGACATCGCGACAGGTGATGGATCATGGGTTTACGCGTATGGTCCCGAAAGTGAACAGCAGTCGACCGTATGGGTATTTCAAGATGATTCAAATCCAACAAAAGCTGTCCGCGCACAAAGCACTTCCAAGGAAATGGTCGCCTATTTTTTCGGAAACTGGACGCGTCGCAATCATACTATTAGAACAAGCAGAACAGCCAATACTGAGTGGTATACAACTATTTGTTTGCCAGTTGTCTTCCAAAAAAATCAGGAAAACCAACTACCAAAGACGGATCACTCTTCACCACGACAATACGAGCTCCCACACATCGGCTCAAACAACTGTATTTTTGAGCACTCAAAACAATGATTTGATGAGGCATCAGCCATATACTCCCGGGTGACTTCTTCTCATCCCGTGCTCTCAAAAAATAAAATGAGAGGTCAACGTTTTCCGACACCTGAAGAAGCCGTTGATGCGTTCAGAATGCGTATTTTAGAGTTACCTCAATATGAGTGGCAAAAGTGCTTCGATAATTGGTTCGAACGCAAGCAAAAATGTATAGATCTTAATGTGGAATATTTTCAAAGGCAGTAATTTTCAATGATTAACATTTATTTTTGCCTTCTAATCCCGAAATATAAAAAGCAACCTACGTACATATTTGCTCAAAAATGGGAGAAAGGTGTAACATCATTCTGCGGAAAAAACGCTTTTTGACATGGTACCAACGAAATGTTCTGCACAAAGATGGTGCTATCGTACCTGTTGGAGAATAATGGTTCCTGCTACGTAATGTGGGCACTACCTGGGAAGAAGCGGAGGAAAGTAAAGAGCTTCTATCCATACCTTTAAATGGTATTCACAGCAACCTCGGACCACTTGACGATAACATCAACGACATCCCCAAATCGCGAGGGGGTACCACTGACCTTATAAGGGATGCAGAAGCTTCAAAGTGGGAGACAGCCTAGAACCTCGTGGCTTCGCCAATAGGTTTCAATATTATGGTGCAGGTGGATAGTCTATATTATTTCGTCGGAGGAGTGCCAAAAGCAGCCGCACTCCCTCATGCATGAGGCAACTTTTGCCTCATCAAGACCGACATCACTTACGGAAGTTTAGGAAAAATAACAGAATGTAAACTTTCAGATTACCCTGCTTTTGACAAATTATGATGCCTTATGTGAATGTGACACTAGTTCCAAAATGAACAGATCAGTCTGTTGGGGCTGGAGATTAGCGGAGTTGTTGGAGGAAGTTACCATGGAACGAATATGGGGATCTCGTTGTACGACAGCGATTTCCACTTAGAGGCTCTGAAAATCAGCAATGAAGGTTTCATAGTGGACATGCTGTAGATGGATTTAGGGTTTTGAGCCCAGCCGTGGTAAAGTGTTCCACTACATCCCCATTTACGTTTACTACGAAAAAGGATTACTCGACGTAAATGTTGTGAATTTTCCTTAGAACACATTTCTAGTTTTCCTAGTATGTGAGTGAGGGTCGCAGATAGTCAATATGATGCGTAAAGGTTTTACAAGCGTCAGGACGCGTTTCGTGAAAAAAAAAAACACAAAGTGAGCACGAGCGTCAAAGATTTGTACCATCATGCCATGCCTATGAGTCAACCACCCTACCACCTGACCACTGTTGCACAGCGTAAACCGCCGCTCCGTTCGGTTACATATTCGGCACAATGGTAATTCTGAGTATTTGGAATCCCAGGGTGAGTTCATTAACTGGCCTCACCTCGCTCTATTGTCAGCCCTAGCCATCTCATTCCTTTTTCATAACTCGGAATGTTACTTCGGGTAGTTCCTAGACGGTTTCTGAAATAAACTAACCTGGAAAACTAAAACTAAAATTACACTGCACCCTCACCAGTTTGGTAACCTTTCTTAAGAAAGACATTCCAAAGCTGAGAGCAGTAGTTTAGATGTGGCAATACATAGGTGTTATAAAGGCGCAGAAGTGGTTGTGGTTCTTCAATCAGGGTATCACGGAGAATCATGAAAAGCTCTGCAAAAGTTCTCCTTCTCAGCCTTTCCATCTGTGCTCTGGATCTCAGATCGGACAGTATTATTATCCTCAAACCTTTTACACCTGTGCAACCAGTTAATATAGCGCCATTTATTTCATACTCGGCTTGGAATATATCTAGAAGATGGATGGGTGCGCTCATTTATATCCGCTGCAAGTGCGGAAGCCCATGCCACCATCCTCGCAAGGGATAACTGAAGTGCGGTTTGTACTTGCATTTTAGTGGTTGCATAGTTGCGGCCTATAGCTTAATGTCATCCGCATACATTGGAACTTTGACCTCGGGTGATAATTTGACGAAAGCAGATAGGTCCATGGTATAATTCAGAGACAATAAAGACGACAGCGCGCTCCCTTGAGGGACACCACTCTACAATGATGCCTGTCAGAGGAGGTGCTCCCTACCTTCACCATCATACGTATCCTACAAATACGACTTCAGACACTCGATGAGCTGTCATGAAGTTTGGTCAGTAGTTTCTGATGGCACTTTATCGAATGCCTTACAATAAGGGGAATGAATAGAGCCAAACGAAGGCAGTCACGGGAAAGTCGTTGAAAGAGTGCAAGACTCCCGGTATCTTATAATTGAAATGGTAGCTGATGATAGCATAGATAGGGCTGCCAAGGCTCGAGAAAACGAAGACGAAAAAAGGCGTCACTCTGCTGTAATGAGGATGCTCAGTTTGGATGAAGTGTATGGACTCAAGTGGCATCCTTTGTGATCGGCGGTGCTCCAGTTTTCCCAAGGAAATGTTTTAAGAGCTGTGGTGAGGCCCACGATGCTCTATGGCAACGGGTGGTGGCCCGCAGGCAGGGATCATGAAATGCAACTTCACTTTGCAGAGGTGACAATTTTGACATCGGCCACCGATTGTACATGGTTGAATCGGGTCGGGGACGAGGACATAAGGACAGCCGGGCAAACAGCTGCCATCCAGCTGAAGATGGAGGAACAGCGGCTATGAAGGTATGGGTTCGTGTTGCGAAGAACACAAGATCTGTGATTAGAGAAGTCATGGAAGTTGAAGCTCAAGGGAAACGACTGAGAGGACTACGAAGAAAAGATGGAGGACACGATCAAAAAAGACCTCTTCGAAGGTAAGGTAAGGCAGAACGTGCGGCGGATCAGTGCAAGTTGCGAGGCCTAACAGGTGCAGGAGACCTCGAGAATACTTAGAAATAACACTGGGAAGAAGAAGAAAAGAAAGCGAGGAACAGTTTGGATCAATCCATCGATGGGTAACTCACCTGTTCATTTAACCGCTTGAACGATTCTGCTCTCGGTTATAATACAAGTTTGTTTATGAGATGTCACGGGTCGAGTACGGTATCGTGCTAACTTAAACTTGTTCCTTCATGAAAACTCCAAAAAAAAAAACGACGCGTCTTGTGTCCTTCGAAGAGAAGACTACTGAACTACTTTAGGTCGTGACAGGAAAGACATGGCTCTCTATAAAACGTCAGTAAAACGTCAAGAACACGGGGGAGAAGAAAAGGAAGCGAGGAACCATTGAATAAAGAAAATCTAGCAAGTTTTGCATACGGATAAAGTCGATGAAAATGAAGTTTGCTATGCTAGATTCCCTATAGACTGCTTGCGTCGGAAGTGCAAAAGTCGATAGTGACGTTGGAACCGTCGAGCTCAGCGCTTTCACGAATAACAAATTCTTACTCTTTCGTGACGTCCTCAACGCGATATTCTGCTCTAAATTCCGTAGCACAGTCGTTTTCGTTTGACTGCTCCATCTTGACAAAGGTACTGGTAAGCCGTTCTACCCGTCTTCGGCGAATAGACTCAGCAACAGTTGGTATTTCCGGTTTGGTTCCTGAAAGCAATTTTTATACTGATGCTCATATTTCAAATTCTTCTCCTTTTATTCCTTCATGAAAAATATAATCCGACAGACGACACAGCCAGTTTTGTGTCTTTCACTCTGCCTCTTATCCAGCAATACAAGAAGCCAATCTCCTGCACTCTTTCTTTCTTCACATTATTATGGGTTCGCATCTCATCGCAAGTCTCATCGAATCAAAGTAAACCTACCTCGGCTGCACATTTCTTTTTACTTTACCGCATCGCGTATGTATCAGTTCCGGTCAACGTCGACTTCGCCCTGACCTAACTTTATATTGATTGTCATGTTTTGTATTGTGTTCCACATTATTTTTGTTTGCATTATTCATTTTTTTTTCATTTAGTACTCACACACACCATGTGATGCCTAGGCCTGTGTTTGTGATCATATTAGGTTTGATAGGATTACATAGGCAGTAGGTTATCAAATCTGGAAGTCAATCGAGAAAGCAACCAATGAATACTTGATAACAACAAGCTTCACTGTACACACAAATAGAGTACCGCAGAACGCACTCAAAATTTTTTCCTCAATTACGAGTGATATTACAACACCCAGGACTCGTTGAGACTCAACGTGTTATAGCCTCTTATATCTGCTACAATGAATTATATGGGTAGTTCCACATTCGTGGAGATTCTACACAAACGAGAATGACCAGTTCTTATCAGTGGACGTCGAAATGACAAAGTGATGAACAGTCTAGACTGTCAATGTACATGAATGCGTCTTTTCGTGTTGATTAATGAGCAACCACAGCGAAAGTGCAGTTGAGCAGAGACCTCTCCGCGCCTCTTTGCTTTTCCACGTGAAGTTACCTTGTATACCAATTGCGCTAATTGCTAGGTTAGTTTGGATACTAGTTGACAACTCTTCTCTAGAAAGCATTTAAACTACAATTTTTATAAACTTTATCACACGGAGTCAGGAATCTCTTCACTTCTAAAATTCTGCAATTCGCTAGGTGTTTGGTTACAAATAGGGTTTTTATGACTTCAGATCCTTTCGAAATGAGAAAGGTGGGGCGACAGCACTCGAAGCAGACTATCATTCAGGGTTAACCCAAAGATAAGTCTGTGTAGGAAAAGTGTGACAATCGTTCACGATCGTGAATGTATATATGTATTATTGAAGTCATTATTATCGCCAGTTGGGCTAAGCAGCTTACGCGCGCATATACAGGGTGTCCCAAAATTACTGGCGCCAAAATTCAAAAACTTCTAAGGTAGAAAAAATTTATCGAATTCACATCACCTGTTAATCAGTTGCATGAGGTTTCCTTGCAATATGCATGGTTCTGACGTGGAACTCCCAATATCTTTCAGATGGAGGAGGTTCATTCAATGCCACTTGCAATCATTGGCACGCGAGAGGTGAAAGGGCATTATGAAATTCTTTGGGATTTATAATAACCTTATAAGGGCTATTAAACGATATAGAAAAGAAGATTGAATCAGAGACAAACCAGGAAAGGCAGAAATGTGGAATGTTTCTGAAGAGAGGACTATTAAAATGTCTTCGTCTGCCAATCGGTCGGGATTCTGGATGACCCATCAAAGGGAAGTTAACGGGCACGGCTTACAGGAGTTATTCCAATGGAAGAATGTCGTGCAGAGGCTCCACTGCCATTCCTATCGTATGCAGGAGTTTCGCTTAATCATCAGACACTGCAGGGCCAAGAAACACAGAAAGTTGCAGAACCACTTGAGTGATGACACGCAACTCTTCGTCGTTTTCTCTGGCCAAAATTTTTATGAAGATAAAACCATCCCTCAACAACCAAAACGTTTGCGTTCCGGAAAGAAACATCTAGCGTGTAAAGTCTCACAAAAAGGTTGCTATAAGAACAGTGAAACGTTGTTTTTTCGAGGAAATAACTGGCAAGGGTAAGCAGCTCGTGCTTTCTTCGGTGATGGCGTGAAAATTGACCAAGGCCAGTACTCAAACAACGTACTTGTGGAAGTAATGAAGCACTGATTCGACTAAGTTTTCTGAAAAATCTCGTAGTCCTTGCAGCAGGACGCTACTCCAGCCCACAGAGCCAAGCTTGCTCGCGAATGGTGCCGACGGAACTGCCCGACTTCATTGGTGAGGAGGAATGGTCATCTATTTTCCAGAACTTGACTCACTTGACTTCCACGAATGGCCCCTGATTAGAAGAGGACCTGTCGAGTTTGTAGTCCCAGTTCGGAGTCCAAGGATGGAAAGGCTGATGAACGACTGGGAAGAAATGGATAAGGATACTTGCGTGCCACATGCGATCAAGTCGAGAGCAAACTTTGACTTCTATCCGCGCTCATGGGGGATATTCTGAAATGCGACCGTAGCATGCTGTAGCATATAGCGCTAACTAGCAGGCATAGATATTCCATCGTCTTTCGCAGCTGAGAAATTTCAAATATATTGCTATAAATCGACGCCAATAATTTTGGGAGACCATGTACATCCACGACCACTTATCTACATGGAGTCATTCAGCGGAATATTTGTATATCAGAATGAGATAGTTCTCTTTGAACTCAAACACTTTAAGGGCATATAATTTATATTTGAATAAAATACTGGCTCAATATATTTCATTTGAACAGAATTAGTGGCGGTTGGCCATAGTCCCATCCACCTCAGTGCAGACCCCTACCAATATGAAAGTTTAACCACCCCTCTTTAAGCAGCCCCCGACCACCTTCTCCGCTTTCGCTTTTAAACCGAGTTATGGATTTTCGACAAAAGAACCGCCCACCGCTGTGAAAACTAGGCTCAAGTCAAGGATTTGACCTCATCTTCTCTATAACCACACTTTTTTCGCAGCATTCTAGAGCGTCTCTTTACAGAGTTATAAATTTTTGATCTTAGTCCCTTCCACATTAGCTCGAACCCCACCCACTACAGGGATTTTGTCACATTTCTTCTATTACCTTCAACCACTTTTTCCCGACATTATAGAACGTTTTTGAACAGAGATATAAATTTTTGATCTAAGCCCGCCCACTTTTGTGGGAGCCCAGCCCACCTCTAGGGCCAGGCCACATTTCTTCTACTACTTCAGACCACTCTTTTCCTGCGACCTAGAATATTCCCGAACTTTGAAAAGCAGCTTCCATTTCAACGCACGATTGGGCGATCGTGAGCGGAGGTTCGTCAAATTAATGCTCAGCATCCATTAGACATTGCTCACTCCTTTCACTTTTCTTGTGGCCTCCACGCCTTCGTTGAATCGAGTTATGTGAAACGCACCTTCCACTGCGGGAACGCTCCGCACACTGCCGAGTCTCCTTCATTTTATTTGTTGACTCACCCCTCACCTACTCCGGACGTTATGAGCCCGAATAAGAAAGATTGCCCAACACTCCGCCCACTGCTGCGCATGTCCCACCCCCTTTCGGGGGGAGCTCCGCTGGGCTCTGTTATCTTGCCCTATGCTCAACCCACTCCAAACTTTTAACGACCTCAGCAGGTGTTCATTCAGGTAGTATCGAGTATCGTGACGGGCAGAAAGAAAGACGCGAGCGCTTTATATATAGTAAGACTATAGTTATTACCAGCACCTGCGCACGATACCGTGCGCGTCTCATAGCTTCTGATTCTGATAAATAAACTTCCTTGAAAAAAACCTGAAGGGTAATCGTTTAAGACACGTAATTTACCACCCTTTCCCGAAAAAATAGAGAGAACCGTTAGAACCCAACAAGTAGCGTCATAATCCTTCTATCAAGAGCGCACATATGACGACCATCTGCATTCGCTTATGCATCCATATATTGACTGAGATAATCAAAAAAATCAAGAAGGGGTCTTGGGATCATTTACTGTCTTTTTTACCCCTATCATTGTGGAATCCTGTGCTTCACCGATAAAGAATGGGAACTTTTTTGCCCTTCTCTCATTTATCCGCCCCGTTGGAGCAGGCATTTAATAGCATACCAATCAACGATCTTGCTAGTCAATATATTGTTTGGTGGAATTTAGGCAAAAATCATAATAAGCATGTAAGCGCAGAGGTTCACACTAATCATCAATTTTACAGATGTAGATGTTCTGCACTGATGCGGCGAGAAAGCGAAGACTTTTCTCTTGTCTGAACAATAGAACTCTACGGATAGTTTCATGAAATTTGTATAAGGTCTGATCGCCCGAATTATGCTGGGTTCTCTACCTTCATATGTCAGGTCTAAATGCCCCACTGAGGCTATCATTGCCCCCCCCCTCCCCCACCTTTCCTCCATGACCCACCTTTCCTCCATGAAAAAGTGGGTAGATAGCAGCAACCCTTCATTGAGTGGTACAAAACTACACTGGTCAGAATTATCCCTACCACACATGAAGGCCAAGCGTGTTAAGGGGCCAAGTTGTGAATTAACGCCACATCATCTAAAAAGGCCTTCAGACAGGATTGTCGATTTTGAACTCCCCACTTTGCCCCCTCCCGATTTCAGTCCTGCTACCCGCCATTAGTCCTCCCTACCGCCGGCACCTCTATCGAAATTGAAAGCCTCATTTCCCCAGGTCCAAAGTGACAAATTTCGAGCAAGTCCCACCCCTAGTGGGCAGAGTCTACACTTGACACCTGTCATTAGTTTTCTTATCTTGCCCCTTCCACCTCTACCAGGTTTTAACGCCCCAGGCTTACTCTAACAATTTTCGCGCAAGCCCGCACCCTGTGGGCGGAATCTACACATGCTACCTAATATTAGTGTTCCCGAATTGCCGTCTGCCCCTCTACCGAATATGAAATTGACTGATACAAAATTGATACAAATTAACAATTTTTGCGCAAGCCCCGCCCCCAGTGGGGAGTATACACCGGTCACGTGCCATTGGCGTCGCCACTTTGGCGCCTGTATCCCTTCTAAATTGAACACTCTAGCCCCACGAGAACAGAAGCTATAAGTCTTCGTGAACCGCAGTTCGCCCCACCCCTGGTGGGCGTACCTCAGCTTTGGTAAGGTGTTCTGAGGTAGTTCGGCCCAT